GAACTGTATAATGCTACTGAGTCCTTCAGGAAAATATCCACTAAGTGTCCTTTTAACACACCAAGCTAGAGCCACTCCGAGACTGAGCAGTCAAGCTTAGCAGCTACCCAGTTGTAACCAACATAAGCTACAAGGCTCAGAAAGGGAGGTAGCACCTGTGTTTTCTCTCTCACTCGCTGAATTACAGATGACCACTGGACTGTGGCAGGATACTGAGGGAGGAAAAGAACAACATGCAGGGAGCAGGTGAGGTGGTACTGTAAGTGGCCGTAATAGAGAGAATTCAAATGCGACAGAGAGGCGGTGAATCTCAGATAATGACTGGGAGATATGGAAAGAGGAGATGAAAGGAGGCTAAGCAAGGGGAAGAGACATGAGAAAAATGGAGAAAGAGAGAAAAATGAAAGAGAAGTCTAAGAAAACTTGAGGAAAAGGGTATGCTTCTTCCTCCCCTCTTCCATCTCCCTCCACACCTCCCCTCAGTGCACTCCTCCCTGCTATTTGTTAACTGAAGAAGGCTCCCTCCTAACACAAGATGCTGAACTCCCCTTCTCCTACAACAGGAGAAAAAAGGCTGACTGCACACTTATAACAGCTCGTCACAGACTTGCCTACAGTGCTGAACCACCTCCTCTCCTCTGGCAAATCTCATCCATGAGGGTGTAGGGTTTGCACTCAGCAATGGCGCATGTTGCAGGAACAGCCCAGAACTCATATGCAGGGAAGCCACTTTCACAAACAGGTACTGATACAAAGCTCTTGCAGCTTTGCACATGCTGTGTGGAAGACAAGCACAGATACAGTGACTCCCTTTCCACAGTAAATTATCATCAGAAATGTTCAACAGAATATAAAGAAGGGAGATTAATTTCTTGCCTAGTTTCTTATGTTTGCAGGAAATGTAGCACAGAGCTGGGCTTTTGTTCTAGCTTTTACTGTGGATGAACTCTTCTATGCACTGATGAAAATGTTTGCATATCAGCACAGTGTTCTTGTATCTGTAGATGCAGATATCTTTCCTACAGAATTGAATGGGTGGTTGCAACAAAATTAACACTGGATAGGATAGGTGACCAGAAACTGGTCAGGAGGTAAGAACAGAGAAATGAACACACTTCTGTAAAGATTTAGGTCTCTCAATACACAGTGCCAAAAACCTCTTTATTGTATTTTCAGAGAGATCACCCGTCTACTGAAACCCAATGGGACATTTAATTATTACCCTTCAGACATACCACGAGGAAAAGTTATTTAAATATATTATGCAGCCATTTTATCTATTTTTTTCAACATCAAATAGCTGTAGCCAGCAACATGTGCTTTTTACGAAACTAAAGGGAAAACACTAATAGCATTTATTTTAGCCAAAAAAAAAAAAAGGTCCAAACAGTAGTCTTCTGAAATTAGTCAAGAACTACTTTCTGGCTATTTCACCCTAAAAATGAGCCTCAATGATTTGATCAACCGTTTTGAATAGCGTAATTACGGAGGACAAGAAACATGCTGTTACTAGATTCTTATATTAACAAAAAAAGCCTAATTTCATGTTACCGTTCTTTTCAGATCTTTGCAGCACGTGACTGGATTGATACTGTTCTTTTAATAAATAATGTGTCTGGATCATTATCATTCTGGTCAGTGCCTACTGGACATATCCAGGAGACAGGGGAAGTATGCAAATTCAAAACACAGACTATTAAAAAGACCAAACTAATGACTCACACTTTCATTACTCAAAGCAAATAGTATTTGAAATACTGTCAAATGTGATAGTGGCAAAAATGAAACACACTGCCCTGCATTTACAGCAGAATGACATTTTTTAAGCATGCCAGTCAACTTTCTGAAGTTTAACTGGTGGCAGAAGTGAGCAGAACAGAGGGATCCTCAGAGGTTTGAGCTATTCTAGGACAACATCATTGGTGAAAGTTTTTGACAGTATATTGACTTTCCTTAGAAGTTTTGTTTATGTTCATAATAAAAAGGAACTGTAATGGCTTCTTTTTGTTCTTTGTTTTATTGCTTTTCTTTTCAGTGAGCATTGACAGGCACGCCTGAGAGACTCCAATCAGTTTCAAAGCTGGATATGGACTGGGATACAAGTAGAGGCAGCAGAAAAATGATAATGAAAGTGAACCATTCAGTATTCTGAAGAAGTCGAAAAATTAGGACTGTTTACATAAGTCAGAACTTTTTTGCGTTTCCTGACATTTCTGGTCTCTTGTTCCCTCGATCGAGAGTTTATGTTATGTAATAGACAGATTAATGAATAAAAAAGAAAAAAATAAGCCAAGTGTCATGCCATCTCAGTCAGTGGTACCTGCATTTCAGCCAAATCGCTTCCCTGCTCTTAACCCTGTTTCAAAAAAAGATTCAGTGATACGCATCCAGGACAAAGCTTTTAAAGAGCATGTAAGGCTGAATGTTTAAATACATGTTTGCACAGGCCCAGCTGATATTTTATACAGAGTATGGGCAGATTCAAATCTTGCATTTCTGAATAAGCAGCACTTGTAAACCATTTGTGAGCGTGCTTTCAGAAATCCTTTAAAACTTGTCCCCCTTGTCTTAACCAGCATTACAACGAAGCTTTAATAGATGTAGCAGGCACACAAATAAGTATTTCTAAATGACTGGGTTTCACAGTAGGCAGAACATATTCTCAAATTATTCTCACATTTAGATCTCTTTCTGATTTCAAAATGAAAGAGAAGTTATCAGAGTTAGAATTATATGCCTACTGACTACTGATTGTAATTATTCTAAACATATCTGGAATTACTATGTAGACTGGTATTTATCAGTGCCAATGCTTTCAACAGCAGGGAGGAGATCTTCTCCCCCTTCTCTCCTCTGCTGCCGAAGTCCTTGTCTTCCTGTGGGACAAGGGGAACAAATCACACCAACTCCCTCTAAGGGCACACCAAGTCACAGAGACAAAATATCTTTCACCGTATTATGGATAGGATGGAATAGCTCTGCTGCTGATTTCTCCTCTCCATGACAGTGGAGAGGGAAGGTGTTAAATACACTAGCAGTTTAGACAGTCCAGGAGGTATTAAAATCTATGTGAGATGACTCTCAGTGACACATCAAGCTTGCTTTACCTCCAGGCATAGGTAGGACCTAAGTGCCGCACTCATGACTCTGCCCCAGACCCCAAAGGCATTTGCCCACCCATTCACTTGTGCCAGAGCTGCCCCTCACCCTCACTGAGCCTTGGAAGAGTTCAAACTTTTTACTTTTGGCATTTTAAAGCAAAAGAAGCCACAGGAAGAACCTGTGAAGAAATCCATTTTCACCCCAGTGTTTACTGCAATTTAGGGCAACGGGAGCAGAGATTTTGCCAAGCTTTCCTCTGCAGCATTGCAATGGAGAAAGCACACTACCAGACTCCTGAAGTCAAATTAAACAAAATGCCATTATAAACTTAGCTGCTGAGACATCATTACATCAAAGCTGACCAAAGGAAAACACATTCATGAGAGAAGTAATGGCATTAATTTAACTAATTCCTGAACATTACAGCCTGAATAATAGAAGAAGTCTCCCTATAAAATCCTCTCTCCCATTTCATTGGCACTATAACACACTGGAAGTTTGGCATAAAACACGGTAAAGATTCTGTAACTCTATTAATTAACAGGGCCTGTATATAAGGAAGACAATATATATAAGCAAAAAGACTCATGGCACAACATGGAAATAGAAAACAGGTGGCTCTGAGACTACGGGTATCCAGCCTTCATAAACTGCAATAGCATCAGCTATGAAGGTGCTGAATGCAACTCACTGGACTGAAATGAGAACCCTGCTCTGATTTAAAT